AGTTGCCCAGTGCAGAGAGAGTACCCCGGAGTGGGGACACCCTAGCCCCTGTCCTGGGTGACCACAGCAGGGTTGGGAGTCGAGCCCCCCAGGAATCCTGGGCCCAACCTTGTCGGGGTTTACGAGGACTCTGCCAGACAGGAGAGTGGAAGGGGAGTCCTCAAGGGCAGGGAGGCCTCTGGGTAAAGGAAGTGGGAGAGAGGACTCGGATCCTTTCGCTAGCCCACTTCACCGGGGTAGTGCAGAAGCCAGGAAAGTTCCCCACAATACCGGGACCATTCCCCCACTTACATCTGGATCCTTTCCACTTTCTCTACATCCTTTCTATACATTGGTGACCAAAACTGGACACAGTCCTCCAGCTGAGACATAGAGCGGTATTATCACCTCTCGTGACTTCCATGCTCTGCCTCTGTTCATGCAACCTGAAATTGCATTTGTTTTTTTGCAACAGCATCGCATTGCTGACATATGTCAAGGCTATGATCCGCCACAACTCCCAGCTCCTTTTCAGCAGTGCTGCTGCCAAGCCAGTTCTTCCCCATCCTGTATTTGTGTATTTGGTTTTTCTTCCCTAAATGGAGCACCTTCCATTTGTCCATCATTAATTTCATTGTGTCGTCCACAGCTCAATTCTCCAATTTTTCAAGATTCCTCTGAATTTTAGCTCCGTCTTCCAAAGTGTTGGCAACCCCCACTAGCTTTGTGTCATCTGCAGATTTGATCAGTCTGCTCCCTAGTCTTACATCCAGGTCATTGATAATGATGTTAAATATCATGGGACTAGGGTGACCAGATGTCCTGATTTTATAGGGACAGTCCTGATATTTGGGGCTTTTTTTTATATGGCCTCCTATTACCCCCCACCCCCGTCCCGCTTTTTCACACTTGCTATCTGGTCACCCTACATGGGACCCAGAACAGATCCCTGTGGAACCCCACTTGGGACCTCCCTCCAATCCCACGTCATTCCATTAAGTTTCTTCTTGTTTGCGCTTGTTTAATTAGTATGTATCCACTTAATAGTTCCACCAAGCCCACATTTCTCCATAAGATCATCCATACTGGGTATCCTATCTTCCAACAGTGGCCAATGCCAGGTGCCCCAGAGGGAATGAGCAGAACAGGTAATCAACAAGTGATCCATCCCCTATCACCCATTCGCAGCTTCTGGCAAATAGAGGCTAGGGACACTATCCCTATCCATCATGGCTAATAGCCATTGATGGACCTATCCTCTATGAATTTATCCAGTTCTTTCTGAACCCTGTTATAGTTTTGGCCTTCCCAACATCCTCTGGCAAAGATTTCCACAGGTTCACTTTTGTTGTGTGAAGAAATACTTCCTTACATTTCTTTTAAACCTGCCACCTATTAATTTCATTTGGGGACTTTTAGTTCTTGTGTTATGGGAAGGAGTAAATCATACTACCTTATTTACTTCAGCCACACTAGTCAGGATTTTATAGACCTCTATCATATCCCCCCTTAGTCCTCTCTTTTCCAAGCTGAACAGTCCCAGTCTTATTAATCTCTCCTTCTATAAAAGCTGTTCCACACCCATAACCGTTTTTGTTGCCCTTTTTCTGAATCTTTTCCTATTCCAATTTGAGACAGGGCCACCAAAACTGCATGCAGTATTCAAGATGTGGATGTACCATGGATTTATATAGAGGCAATATGATATTTTCTGTCTTATTATCTATCCCTTTCTTAATGACAGGTTTCAGAGTAACAGCCGTGTTAGTCTGTATCCGCAAAAAGAAGAACAGGAGTACTTGTGGGAGTTGGTAAGACAACTCCCACCTGTTTATGCTCTCTGTATGTGTGTATATATATCTCCTCAATATATGTTCCATTCTATATGCATCCGAAGAAGTGGGCTGTAGTCCACGAAAGCTTATGCTCTAATAAATTTGTTAGTCTCTAAGGTGCCACAAGTACTCCTGTTCTTCCCTTTCTTAATGATTCCCAACATTCAGTTTTTTGATGGCCGCTGCACATTGAGAGGATGTTTTCAGAGAACTATCCATAGTGACTCTCAGAACTCTTCCTTGAGTGGTAACAGCTAATTTATACCCCACCACTTTATATGTATAGTTGGGATTATGTTTCCCAATGTGCATAACTTTTCATTTATTAACATTGAATTTCATCTGCCATTTTGTTACCCAGTCACCTAGTTTTGTAAGATACCTTTGTAGCTCTTCACAGTCAGCTTTGAACTTAACTATCTTGAGTAGTTTTGTATCACCTGCAAATTTTCCCACCTCCCTGTTTACCCCTTTTTCCAGATCATTTATGAACATGTTGAACTGCACTGGTAACAATACAGAACGCTGGTGGACACCACTATTTACCTCTCTCCACTGTGAAAATTAGCCATTTATTCCTATCCTTTGTTTGCTATCTTTTAACCAGTTACTGATCCAGGAGAGGACTTTCCCACTTATCCCATGACAGCTTACTTTGCATAAGAGCCTTTTGGGAGGAACCTTGTCAAAGGCTTTCTGAAAATCTAAGTACATGGACTGGGTCATCCTTGTCCACATGCTGTTGACTCCCTCCAAAAATTCTAGTAGTTTGGTGAGCCATGATTTCCCTTTACAAAAACCATATTGAGTCTTCCCTAACAAATCTATGCATATGATCATTCTGTTCTTTACTATAGTTTCACTTTACTATAATTTCAACCAGTTTCCCCTTCACTGAAGTGGCTTAGAATCATAGAATCAT